CTTGCTACTTTTATTATTTCAAAATCAGAAACGAGTCACATTAATGCAGCATTTGTCTTTTACGGAAAAAGACGAGTTAAATATAAACATTTAAAACCTCTGCTGCTGATTTAGCGACCCAAGGCTGGGGATACAGATAAAAAAACGAGGAGTGGTTTATGTCAGGTCGTTTTAAAAGGTGAAAACTAATCTCCAGGCGAAGTAAAACACGCTTAAATATGAAGTCTCTGCGGAAATGAACACGCTTTTGCTTTTTTTTCTTTTGTAGTTTCTTAAGAAAATCGTTTAAAAATTATTTTATTTTGACATTTTGTACACACAAGTGTATACAAAAAGAAATTTTGTTTTGTACACCTCTATAGAAATTTTCATTTTTTAAGGTGCAGCCTTGATAAAGGTGAGCAGCAGTGATAAATAAAAAAATCACTGTGGTGAAAAATGCACCAAAAATGCAGATGGTTCATTTTTTTGCATCTTTTTTTTTGGACTACTCATATTTAGTTTAATGATCTATACTCTAACACCTCTTCACCTCTCCAAAGACGTCTTTCTTATTAGTTTTAAAGATCTGTGTTGGTCTATAAAACTCTGCATTGATGGGCAAACACAGAACTTTATTGCCTGGGCACCTCAGCTTAGTCTGTGGCACAATTAAAAACGTTTAAGCGGAGGGAGAATGTGCCGCAGAGGCAAAGGTTGCTAATGCAATGCCAGCTACTGCTGTATATAGACAACAAGAAGCCTGAATTCAAATCAGCTCCTCTGCTCACATGTTTGACTCCTTCTGTAGCAATAATTGGAGAAACAAGTCCTCGGTGTCCCCTTTCCCCTGACAATCTGCACAAAGAACTCCCAGAAGCAGACCACCGCTCCTCCAGCCAGCTCATTGTGCATTCTAAGGATTGTTGCTCATGAATTTTTATGAAGTCATCTCAAGTAGTGTGCAAAGTTCAGCCTCTGAATTAGACAATGGTGTTTTCCACTAATCTTCTTATTAAAGAGGAGAATAAACGGAGGGACACCGCTACTAAAAGACAAGAATGTAACCTTTAAAAAGAGGCGGGTTCAAATTCGGAGCTCTGGAAAGTGACAAGACCGTGAATTCTTGATAAAGCGGATGAAAAGATGAAATAAAGCGCATTTTAGGTCAAATCCGGTTTCTCTAAAGCCTTTTGTGATCCAATAGCAAGTACCACTAAGACATACAGTAGTTTATGTCAATAAGTTATTGCTCCCACATACAAGGACTTACAGTTTAGGTCAAGTCTTTATCCTATAGGGGAAGATTTTATGAGTAGGACGAACAGCTGGAGTTTGTGGGATTTAAAAAGAAGCATTTTGCCAAAAGAAATGAAAAATATATGCATTTCTGAATGAATATAGAGGTTCTGGAACTAGAGTCATTATAGAGGAAAAAAATAAACAGCAAAGGTTAGGTGCAATCCCAGGTGACATTGAGAAAAACTACTCCAGCTTCTGCAAAGTAGAGCTAAAGGTCATGAATCTCTCCATGGTTTGCAGCTCAGTGCTTCTTGAAAACTCGCAAATAACTTTGCAAGATCCAAAAATCCAATAAAATCAAAATTGCGCATCAAAAAACTATTTTGGATCTTTCGTGGTTTCAAGGAAACATATAAAGGAATCTTTGGAAACTTTGGCAGAATTTCGTAGAGTTTGTTTTTCGCATTAAATCAGCTTTTAACTGTAGCAATTCCTCCATTTAAAACAACCACAATGGGGAATATAGATCAGGAAAGTAAAGAAATAATCGACTTATAATTGCTGATTAATAAAAAGAAAGGAATACTTTTTGTAAATGAAAATGTGAAAAAATGCAATCCAGGAATTAAACTTTAAAAAAAACTTATTTAACAGAAAAAAAATGTTATTTTTTTTCAATTAATAAAAAACATCTGCATTTTTATTTTATGAATTGTATATTTTAAAATTCTATTTTTAAAATTTTCTCATTTTCATTTTGAGCTTTGCATTCAATTCAATTCAATTTCAATTTCAATTGATAAGAACTGTTAAGAACATTTTTATTGGTCAATGTGAGCGTTTCTGTTGGGCTTGAAGTGAAGTGAAGAAGAGCTTTAAAACAACATCTGAAAAGAATGTAAATCTTACAACTCAATCTCAAAAACATGAATTTGAAAAATAATATTTGGAAATATAAAACCTGGCAAGGAAAAAAAACATGAAAAAATATTAAAAAAGAAGAAAAACATCTCAGAAAACAGTAAATCTACTCTTAAAACCTTTTTGTTTGTGAAAAAGTTTCTGGATTATATTTATTCACTTTTTTATTTTCAAAGTTTTATTGACACAACGTGATCTTTGCTTGCAAGATTGTTGGAACAAAATTCACTCCATACATCTGCTGCTGTTATTTTCTTTGGTTTGTTGCTGCAAACGTTTGTTGGACCCTCTCAAAAAGCAACCAAAACTATTCAGAGATCCTAAAAAAATATATTTTTTAGGATCTTAAAAGACTTCCATGGGATTCATGGGGAATAAAGTCCAGCCCTCACATGCAGAAATCCTGCTGAGGTTTATGGGGTTTATGTTTTCTTCTGTGTCTCTCGCTGAGTTTAGTAAAAACCCAACCTGAGAAGTTGGATATTTTTTGCATCTTGTTGCTATGTTGGTTCTGGGATGTATGGGTGCATTCATAGTTTGTGTGAAAGTATAAATATGCATCGATCTATTATTATCTGTATTAGAGAAGCCATGATGCAGCTTTGTTCTCTTTAATTGACATAATTCGGACCACACTAGCATATAAAATGAACATTGGGCTTTGAATCAGCCAAGTGCTTGTAATGTAATAAGCAGTCTCTTCTAAATGGAGCCTTGACTCCATTTAAAAGAGGGCAGAAAATATGTGTGCACTCTTGCTTAAGGCTTTCATCTTGCATATAAATCATTCCAACTCAAAGTGGGTGTTTGAGCGGCACAGATTTCAGGTCTTGGGGCGCAACGCTGCATCACCGGCCAAGTCTCCATTAATGACAGAGCTGTGCCTTGACAGCATGCTGTAAATTAAGCCAATTCTTAATATTCTGAGAGCTGATAAATGTTGGCATGGAGGCTTCTCTGGCTGTTTTTGGAAGCCTCATATGTGATGCTATGTGTTTTATTTTATTTTTCCTCTACCCTTTCTATTTCCTGCTCTCTGTTCTGTCCAGATACCACGGCAGCTGAATCCCCTGGCTCTGTACAGGTGTGAGCAGTCAGTGCTGGATCAGTGCCATGCCCACCTGTCACTGCACCACAATGTGGGCATGGAGCCCTCCACTCGGGCGCTGGGAGGTTCGGGACCAGCCTTGTACCACCCGGGCCTAATGGCTGCCCTCCCCTCCGAGCCTGTGCTGCCTTGCCCCCAGACTCACTCCCACCACCGGTGAGCCGTGCACACCGAGAGGCTCTCAACTCCTGTATTTGTGCAACACAGAGTCAGCGAACTGCTCAAAGGAAATAAAAGGTTGTGTGGGAGGAAACTGGGACTGGTAACGAAGCAAAGGAGACAGCTAATCTACCGCAGAGCATCCAGGATCCAGGGTAATGAAAAGAAAACAGTTTTTTTTATCAGGAATAAAAGGGGTGCAGCTGTATTGATCGGTGAGAATCTGACCTACATGGCCCCACATCTCCTCAATTAGCAAAGGAGGCTGATGAGTAACGCGACTCCCCAAGTCCTACGTTCCTGCCAGGGGGAATAAGGATAGTATTTTAATGATTTGTTAATCTTAATAAACACATTTCCTCGACTTCTCATAATCTGGGCAGCTTTCCGCTGCGCAAGTAATGAAATGATTAATGCTACTTGCAGAGTCTGGTAGCAGAGCAAATGAAAGAGTGGCCAAGCTGAAAGTTTCTTCTGCTCGACATAAACCCCCCCCACCCCGACTGGCATCATTTGTTTGTTTTTTATCCATAAAACCAGGGAAAAAAACATAACAAAGAGTCTGAATATAGCAGACAGTAAAGGCTAATTTAAAGTGTACAGCCTCCACAGATTCAAGTCTGATTTTTATGCTGTTTTATGATGTGATGTTGAACCCGTTCAGATTCGTTCATCACAGCGGAGGAACTTTCCACCACGAAGCTGCACTGCGACACTTAGATATTTACTTTTCATCGCTCATTTAAATCACTTTTGTGGTTAATGGTTTTGGATTCCATAACGCATTATTAGACCAATTATCTAACTGTGCGCTCTTAAAGCTACATGTGTGATCTCTTTTTATTTGTTTTTTTTACAAGAAGTTGCAATATGCGGTAAATAAAACTGTGGTAAATGATCGGTAACAGTGTCGTTCATCAACATGCTTCGACCCCAACAACTGTCTGCTGTGTTTAGACAACTGCGGAGGTGGGTGGAAGAAGAGGAGCGCCGCGCTGGAGGCAAGACTGTTTAACAACAGTATGTCTTGTTTTTGCATTAGAGACTGACCCCCAATGGTTACTCTTACTTGTTTTTTTTCTTCTTCTCCTGTGACTGTGTGACCGTTTTCTGATGTAATAAA